CCCTCCCCCCACCCCTCCCCCCCCCCCCCCCCCCCCTCCCCCCCCCCCCCCCCCCCCCCCCCCCCCCCCCACCCCCCCCCCCCCCCCCCCCCCCCCCCCCCCTGCCTCCCCCTGCCTCCCCCTGCCTCCCCTTGCCTCCCCTGCCTTTCCCACCCTCTCCACTAAGTAATTGCTCCAGGATAAGTAATGCCTGCTTCTGGGCTGAGAGTCTTGGATGGGTGTAATCACAGAGGGTTGAGGAATGGCTGCAGCTTCATGGGTGGAACTCAGGATGGAGGTTCAGCTTTTACTCTGATTGAGTTAGAACAGAATCATAAATCCCCACAGTGGTCTCTTCAATGCAGATTCTTTGGGTCTACGCTTTGCAGTTGCCTTACACTGCTGTTTTCAAGGGAGAAAGCTGTTTTCTATTATATTCACCTTACGTTCACATATCAAATAAGATATTTCCTTCATCATTTAAGACCAAACCGTGAATGTAAATAGAGTCTTTTTCTTCCACATTCCTCTTTGTGACTCATCCTAGATGAAAGCGCCTGTGCTGGATCCTACATGATGGGCCTGCACACCGCCGCTGTGTGGGTCTCCATTTTCAGGCTCTAATTGCATCTAATATTTTAAAAGCCATCACAAAAATTGGTGGGCCCATTTGCCTTACTGTAGGAGTCCCTTGAGTGCAGCTTTCAGGAGACTCTCAGGACCCATTAGGGGCATCCATGAAGCAGAACTGCATTACCATTCTGGAACAGCATATATGAGCAGCACACCTACCTGATTAACCTTTTTGATGAAAAATGTATGTCATCAGAATTTCTGTGTATTGTTTAATTTGTTAGATTGTTCTGGGTGTGGTGACCCTGTGCAGCCCTGAACGACCTTGTTAGAGAAACACTTGGTGCGGGATGCCTTTCCCACCTGAATGATAACCAGATGTGTTTTATTTCTGTGTTTCAAAACAGGTTTTGCCCGGCATCCTGCAGAAACATTGCTGTATCTTACCAGACAGGAATACAGGTAAATGTATTTTGTTCTTCTGACGTGAGCTCATGGGTTTTCTCTCAGTGGAAGATTTGAGAAATATGATTGCATAGTTTAGATACCTTGTATTTTTAGCTGTTGTTTTAGTGCAAGATCGTGTAACGGCTGAAACAAGCGAAAAGCTGGATGGTTGGGTTTTGCGCGGACTTATAGCCTGAGCCCAAAGATCTGTTTCTCTTTGACAAAATAAATATGTTTAGATGGCAGTTGTCTCAGATTTTTAAGGGAAACTGGTTGTCTTTTAAAGTTGAACATCTGAGCTTCAAAGTTGTTTGTTTTGCTGATTGTACTTGCTAAGGAAGTGCACCGGGACTGGCGGGCGTGGGGCCTGGCCAGGTGTGATGTTCTAAGGCCTTGAGGGTCCCGGTGACTAAGTGAGGGGTGGATGCTTGCCACGGGAGGTTGTGTGTTGTGTGATTTCTCATAGGTTTGGTGGCTGGAGGTTGTAAATGAGGTGGTTTCTATTACTTTTAGGAAACACGATGGAGGGGAAAAAATCCAGAAAAGAAACCTCTGGAACTTTGCAGTTTTTAAGTTGAGGCACAAACGTGAAGACCACATGGAGTATGTTACCCTGTGGGTCTTTGTCTTAACCACTCTCCCTGGCGGACTTTCTACTTCAGGGCGTTTTCACCGGAGAACTAGCGGGACCTGAGGGAAAGATACAGAATGCTCTGTCCTTTCTGCCAAGGGCTAGTTCGGTGAGGATTTACCGCTTCCAGGGGCCGGCTGTGTCCCGTCAGATGTGTCGGCCTGCATCCCAGGGGTGCTTGTGCTGGGTGTGAAACACAGGCATGCTGACCCTGCGTCATGCTTTCCAGCAGTAACAAAATGAGTCATGACAGACTCTCTCAGAGTCCAAAGAATTTAACGTGTTGGGATATACTCTACTTTTATTATAAACATGTTAACCAGCCAGTATAGTTATTGAAACCACATTCTTAAGTGATCAATGAGCTATTGTCTTGTATTATGCATTCCAGTGGAAAATACGGAGTATGTGGGGAAAAGTAAGATCTTTACTTATTTATCTTTTTACTTAGGATCATGGACAGACTATGTTGCCACTTCTGTTATTTTTAAAACCAGTCCATAGAGTGGTCCTTGTTTTGACATCACCTGCTCAGACACACAGTGGCTGTGGCTGTGAGCACACTTACTCACTGGGGAGCTCATCCAAAGGTGGTGAGGTATTGCTTGAGCCTGTTTTTATATTTCGGAAGTCTTGATTAGTAACAAAAATATACGAACAGGTCCCATGTGAAAGAACAAAGATTTTGCAAACTGTGTCCATCGACAGTAGCAAGTGCCACACGACGTGAAAATGGAGTGATTAGTTTTTCCACGTTAGCTTATGTCTTCCAGGCGGGTCTCTGATTCTGAGCCGCATCAAAAATATTGACAACATTAGTTAAAAGCTAAATACCATTCTCTGAGAATCTAACTGGATTTTAAATGTTAAAATGAACATTCTGTATTTTTAGACAGTTTGTTATATAAGACGTTTCAGTTAATAGGTGAAACTCTGCCAAGTTGAGATATTTTATTTGCTTTCTGTAAGAATCCAAGGAACCAGCCTTCAGAGCCCAGAGAGCAGCCCCTCGTTGGGACCTGAATACTGAAGACATTGGCCAGGGGGTTTTCTTTTGAAGATTTTCACATTACAGAAGTCAGTTCTAGAAGACACAAGGCGATGACATAGGGCGCAGAAAGGGGACGGGATTGTATCAAATGAAAGAAGAGCCGGCTGAGATTTTAACACTTTCAAAGTGCCAGTTCATTCAGAACTGAAAGCTGTGTGAATTCTGGTTTTTACCACGTAATGTGATCCAGTATGTCTATAGCCGTGTAATTATTTAGGAGATGTTGTTTGGAAATTTCTTCGGACTCAGATGGAATGGTTATTGGTTTTATATTTTAATGACATACAGGTTCCTTATGAACTTGAATGGACACTTTTTTCATCTTAGTGGTCATATAGAAGCATTTTCCACATTTTTTATTAAGATCAGTGTTGGAATGGGTAAAGAGTTTCATTTTGGGAATATGAAAACATTCTGGAGATGGATGGTGGTGTTCGCCGTGTGGCACCTTGAATGCACCCAGTGCCACCAAACTCTACACTAAAAAATGGTTAAGACGGTAAATTTTATGTTATGTGTATTTTGCCACAGTTGAAAAATCGGACGGCTCTGGAATGAGCCATGGCTATTGTGCTGTTTGCTCTTTAGTCATTTTAGAAACGCTGTGCATTAACTCATGCATGCCACAGCTGTGTCCCTGGAAGGCGGGATGCGTGTCTTCAGGTGTTTGTCATTGTCATGGAGCTAACGTCCTTAACAGGACTGGGAACGAAGTACAAGGACTGACATTGGATGGTGCCCTGTGTTCTTGTCTGATGAAACAGGAAAGACAAACATTGTCTTCTCTCCATGTTCTGATGACTTGTGATGGTGTTGGCCGATGCCGTACAGAGCTGAGCGAACTCGCTTGCCCATCGTTCTCCGTGGTGGTCTCAGTGGAGCGCCGGGCAGATGGCATGAGCCCACGTTTCGATGGGGCAACACCTGCACAACCAGATTCTGTGTTTTAGTGCGTCAGCTTTGCTTCCAACCATTCTTCCCTTTCCTTGCTCTGGGGACCCTGTTTGACCCCTTGTCCACCTTCAGTGTGCCCCCCCCGCTGTGGAGAGCCCCACTGTGGAGTGCGTGTGGGGACTGAGCACCTGCTGGGGAACCAGCTCCAGGAGGAGGCTGGGTGCCCGGCGGCCCACTCAGTGGGTGGGTGCGCACTAGCGGCATCTCATACCCAGCTCCCTTACCAGCCTTTCAGGGAGTGGCTACGAGGTCTCCGCGCCTGTGTACGGGGGCCACCTCTGACCGGCACGCGGGATGAGGGCGGGCGGGTGATCTACGGTCTGCTTCCCTTCAGTGTGGGACCCGGCTCCCTGTGTCTGAACCCTGGCTGGCAGTTAAAATAGTCCAAGATGGTGCTCGAGCCTGTGTGGTTGAGAACGTTTTTTGAGCAGTGACTTCTTCACGGACATCATTTTATTACGATTGGCTATTTTACGCGCTCAAGTTAACCTGGCATTTTCCACTGTGAAGCTGGTGGACATCAGCACGTTGTTTCTTTGTGGTACATGACTCACAGCCCGAGCAGCCTGTTATCTCTCTGCTGGGATCTCATGTCTCATAATATGAGGGTACGGTTTACCCATAACCAGTAGTAGGTGACACATCGGGGCAGCCCGCCATGAAAGAGATGTGGACTGTGAATACATGTTTCCCGAGCAGCCAGGAGGTTAGGAGATGCTTACTTCTTGGACACTTGGGCTTCCTTATCTTGCTCATCAGTGCAGCTGCTTCAGAATCGCCGTGTCGCTCTGGGAGGTCGTGAGCCTGGCAGATGCTCCTTGGGTCAGGCTGCGCAGCAGGCAGGGATTGGTATTCTGAGCTCTGTCGTCCTGCAGCATTTATCCTGTGCTGTTGGGTGAGAGCCCGTCCCACTGCTAGGAGTAAGGAGAACTTCCTGGAACGAACTGAGTTTGCAGTGGAGCGGTGATGCACCTGCACCGAGTCTGGTGGTAATGCTACGTCGCGAAGCCTTGAGCAGGGGGCCGCGCCATGCCTCTACTTGACGGCATGGAAAATGTGAAATGATCTGTGTATAAAAATGAGGGTGGGAAGATGTTAAGTATTTTCCACTATTTTGTGGAACTGATTCTTGTATGTTTGCAAATGCGCACTGTGTCATTCACTGAGGCCCTAAGCGTTACTGAGTCTGGTTGTTGCTGGGTCCCTGCCAGAGAGATGCTGGGCAGAGTTTAATGGCGAGAGCCAGCTGGAAGGCCCTGGTGTCTATGCCGGACATGCTCTGCGCCTCGTTCCTGAGTGTGGGTCCGCGAGGACTTCGCGGCTGCTGCCCTCACCAGCCGCGACGAGCCGGCTCTGGTCTACCACTGGTTCCTGCCTGTGCGTCCTTCCCGAGGTGTCTCCCAGGGGCTGGGGGCCAATGGGCCCAATTGTGTGTGGGCTAAATAGAACCTCGGATTGAATTTAGTGTTTATGAGAGGGTATTTAGTTACCAAACGTACATAGGCTGACAGATACCTTTATCCTGTATATTTGGATGTGGAGTCTGAATGCACTATTACGTAAGGTTTGAGAAGCTTATGGTGGACTTAATTGCACGTTATTGAACTCCTCGGTGAGTAGGCTGTTGGAATATGGACGTGGACAGGGGCCGTTTGCATATTGAGCTCAAATGCCGGAGGGAGCATAGCTGTTGAAATAGCAGGAGCGTCTGTGTTTGGTCCATCTAAATCCCCGGTTTCTTCAGAGCTGAGGGTTTAAAAAGCTTAAATTTTTTAATGTTTTATTTTATTATTTTTTAAAAATATAATTTATTGTCAAGTTGGCTAACATATAGTGCAGACAGTGCACTCTTGGTTTTGGGGGTAGATTCCCTTGGTTCATCGCTTACATACAACACCCAGTGCTCGTCCCAGCAAGTGCCCCCTCAGTGCCCATCCTCCCCCTCCCCCCTCCCCCCGTCAACCCTCGGGTTGTTCTCTGTATTTAAGAGTCTCTTATGATTGGCCTCCCTCTCTGTTTGAAACTGTTTTTTTTTTTAATGTTTTATTTATTTCTAGGAGAGAGAGAGAGAGTGTGAGCAGGGGAGGGTCAGAGAGAGAGGGAGTCACAGATTCCGAAACGGGCTCCAGGCTCTGAGCTGGCAGTCAGCACAGAGCCCGACGCGGGGCCCGAACCCACGAACCGCGAGATCATGACCTAAGCGAAAGTCGGACGCTCAACCGACTAAGCCACCCAGGCGCCCCTGAAACTATTTTTTGTTATCTCCCTTCCCCCAAGGTCTTCTGTTAAATTTCTCAATGAGAAAGTGGAATCTTGCCGTTTGTAGCAACATGGATGGAATTGGAGGGTTTTATGCTGAGTGAAATAAGTCAGAGGACA